GGTACCAGGGATTGAACCCAGGGGCACCTAACCACTATGCCACATCCTCAGCCCTATATCATATTTTATTTAGAGATAGGGTCTCACTGATTTGGTCAGTGCCTTGCTTTTTGATAAGGCTGGCTTTGAATTTGTGATCCTCCTACCTCAGCTTCCCAAGCCGCTGGGATTATAGGCATGTGCCTACGCACCAGCAAGGGTTTCTATTTTAACATATAAGGTTTACATTTTTCAGTGTAGATCAAGTGTATTAAAATATTAAATCTATTTCAGTAAATTAAATATGAGATTTTCTGATACTCCTTTCCAAACTGAGGTTTGGAATTTTCTTTTGGAAAAAAGTATATTTGTCTTTACGTACCCTTGGGAGATTGTTTCAAGGATTCCCTACGGATACCAAAGTGTGGATGCCCAAGTCTCTTATAAAGATGTAGTGTTTGCATACAACCTGTGCACATCTTCCATATACTTTAAGTCATCTCTAGATTACTTAGAATACCTAATTCAACATAAACATATAAACCGTTATTATACTATAAGGAGAAAATAATAACAATAAAAAAGTCTATATGTTCGGCACAGATGCAGTTTTTTCCCAAAGTTTTTTGAGCTAAGGTTGGTTGAATCTGTGGATGCCAGGCCCATGGATATAGAGGGCCAATTGTATATTTTAAAATTAAATGTCTCAGAACTTCATTCAAATTTACTTATTGAAAGGATTCAGGGTATTTGATTCAGGTTCACCTAGAAGAATGGACTGGTACATATTGTGTTTTAACAAATCCCCAACAGAAAGGAACGAGAAGTTGTTTGTATCCATCAAGCTTAGTGGTATCCCTCTCAACCTAAATGTTGTTCCTATTTTTATTACAGGAATAGTGGGCAGCCTTAATTCAGAAAATAAAGTGGATCTCACCAATCCCCAGTACACGGTGGTAGTAGAAATCATCAAAGCTGTCTGTTGCCTGAGTGTTGTGAAAGATTACATGTTGTTCAGAAAGTATAATCTCCAGGAGGTGGTGAAGAGTGCTAAAGACCCATCCCAGCCTCACCCAAAGCTAGGAAATGGGAAAGAAGTGAAATTGGAATCTGATGTCAAATTAAATCAAAATGACCCCTCAGAAGGGAAAAATAACCAGCAGGTGGTACCAGAGAATAATGAGGAGCCAGGGCAAACAAAACCCAAGCCTGAGTCACAAGTGGTGAATGAGGAAGGAGCTAAACCTGAACTTGCAGATCAAGTCATGGAAGGATCCAAGTCAAATGAAAATGACCACTCGTAGGAGGAGGTGGGTTTCTCAGTGAGGTTCTGTGAGATGCTACCAGGGTTCCATGTGAAATTATAATATTTGATGTTGTGCTGCAGAGTGCTAATCTCACAGTATCAACAGTGACCCCTCAGCCCTGTTAGCAGTTTTGTCAGAGCACTTTCAGCCCCCTTGGTGTGAGTATGGGCCCCACAGGGAAGGGGTGGGAGAAAGGTGTGGGCTCCTCCCTTCTTCTCTTCCCAGCCTCCCTATATGCACTGCCAGTTGTTTTATGGAGTGAATATGCTCTGAGAAACAGAAATCAGAGGGAAGTTTTCCTTCTAAGCAAGGAATTTTTTTGTGCCACAACTAAGCTATCCCCTGTCATTTTGTTCTAAACATTGCAAAAATGTGGATTTTGTAGATTAGAAGTGAATTGTTTTGTGATTGTTTTATAGTTTTGTCTTTCTTGTTTAGTTATTATGTCATTTTTATCTTTGAATGTTTGCTTGCTGTGAACAAGTATTATGGTCATTGCTGCAGTTTTTGAAGGCAAGGTGGTGAGATACAAGAGGACCATTCCAGACCTATACCCACAGACATTTCTGATAAAGTTGGTGATAAGGAATCATAATCTCCTAATACAACAGACAAAGAGATTCTGTCACTCCAGTGAAAGCTCCTCCAGGGTGATATGGATCTGTGAGCCAAGCTGTCCTCCCAGTGGGCATTGTCTGTGGCATGCATCTTACTAGCAGTTAACTCCAGCAGTTGTAACTAAATCATTTGCAAGGATATTGGTTAGTTTAACGGCTTTTGGAATATCAAAAACAGTAAAACTTTTGTTTTAAAAAAAATCACACTCAGTGAAAAGGTTTAGGAAGCAAATTATTTAGTAGCAGACTGTATCCCAGAAAAGAAAAAATTATGTAGTTGGTGAAAATGTAACAATATCAACATTACAGTGCTGGGGCAAGTATAAGAAATAGAAATGACTTTTATGTCACATGAGGTAAAGAGGTTTTGTGTAGTTAACTGAGAAACAGCAACCTCTACCTGGGTTGAGTCAACAGATTTCACAAATATTTGTTTTGCTGTAGCATTTATAAGGTTTCTAAATATTGATGAAAATAAATGAACTTTTTTTTTTTTCCTGCTACTAGAAGTCTCTTAAAACAAAGGCCAATATATCTTTAAGTTATATCATTATACCTAAAAAAACGAAGGTCTGTCATCTGTACTAGTGCCCCATGTTTGGTGCTTGGCTCCGTGAGAGTTATGCCTCATTTCAAAAAAGAAATCCTGATGTTGGCAATACAGTACAGTGCTTTCTTCACAGAGGTGCTGATATCAACAACGTGGAGATGAAGAAAATTCTCAATAATGCTACAAAAATGGTTAATTTATTATTAAAGATCCATTTATGCCAAGAATGTTAAGCAAATCCCCAACTAAAACTTGGGACAAAGAGCACATGTATCTTATACAACCTACAGAAACCTGGTGGCTTATCAGAAGAAGAGTTCATAAAGAATGTTTGAGTGGAAAAGTGAATTACTAGGGCACTTACAAGAAAATAGGGCAGGTCTTGCTGAGTGCTTTCAAAATGAAGAATGGCAGTAGAAAGCCTATTTAGCAGAAATTGCTATTGCATATGTAATGAAAAAGTTTCTGCAAGATCCTAGAGAAAAAGTTTTTTCTTAAAGTGATAAGAATCTAAGATTTAGAAGGAAACTTAACTCTGGAAAAGTAATTTTAAAGAGTTGCCAAAGGAACTCTTGAAATGTCTCTCAGCAACTTGTACTTTATAATGAAGAATGCAAACATTACAAGTCTTCTGCCTAGAAGGAATGCAAAACCAAAGTAAGTAGTGTCTCTTCTCCTGTTTCCACTCTGAAGGAAGAGAAAGAACTCCACTCTGGTCTTTCAGCTCAAGACTTGTTTGAAATAAGAGCATCCTTCAACTTAGTGCTCACACTCATGCCATGAGGTATTTCCGCAGGGGTTACCTGAATTTGAAAATGTCTTCAAGGGTCCCTCCCAGGTAAAGTGATTGAAAAAGGGTGGAAGACACTTAGGAGCAGTATAAAATAAATTGTGTAGATTGAGAACATTAAGGGACTATTCTTTTTCAATTTAAGAAAGTTTGATAGTAGCATAAGTGAAAACTCCCTACATGAGTGTCTGCCTGTGTAATAGCTAGTCACCGTGGGAATGCGTGTGTACCCTTAGAGCTCTTTGTGATAAACCAGACTAGGAGGATGTGGGAGGGACAGAGAGGGTGGGCAAGACCTTGCTGACAGGTGGGGTGGTAGGTATCTTCAGATGTTTAGAATGTTAATGAGGCTGAGGTCTTCTTGGAAGGATGAGTGCTGTCAGTGTTGTTTGGGGGAACAGGGAGGATGGGATCCTGGTGCCTTCTTCAGTGGACTTGCTCCAAGACAAAGATACTTTTGATAGTACAAAATAAAGGGACTCTGGGAATAAGTTGGCCATACAGCTACAGAACAGAACTCTGTGGCACTAACTGGTTCCTTTTGCTTTGTGAACCTGCTACTTTACAAAAGAATTTTATAGTTTAGGTCTAGTCACTTTTTGTGTTTATTTGTATTTGATAAGATCTGAGTGTCACACAAACTGTTCTTCCCCAACTGTACAATACTGTGTTCTGTTGGGGTCTAAATTCATCCATTGACAGCTTTTGCTTTCAGGTTAATGTCTGTTTATTTTCACTGACATTTGAGCATCTTGTTACAAATGATGAGATTCCAGGGTGGAATTGAATGCTTTTCTTTCTTTTTTTTTTTTAAATTCTAAAAAATTACAGCAGTTAAAAACACTCTTGTGGTTTAATGAACTCTTTTGCTCTGTTGAAAAAAGAATTAAAATTGGCATTTTAAAATATGTTTCTCAAAGCTTAAAAACACAATTTTCAAATGTTAGTTTTACTTGTGTTTTGCTTTTTGTATAGCCGGATATTCAGCTTGTTTTTCATAGTTTCTTGTATTTTCCAAAAAAAAAAATCAAAATAAATTTGTTCCTTAAAGATTGGTGTTCTATACTTTTTCTTCCTTTCTACCTCTTAGAAATACAATCTCGTTTCATAGTATACATATCACAAAAAATATTTGCATGTCAAATAGTGTATCAAAAAAATCATATACATGGTTCTAAAAAGTAAAGATAGAAAAAAAATATTAGTTGCTCTAGATTAAATACTCGCAGCACAGGCCTGTAATTCCAGCAACTCAGGAGGCTGAGACAGGAGGATCATGAGTTCAGAGCCAGCTTCAGCAATAGCAAGGTGCTGAGCAACTCAGTGAGACCCTGTCTCTAAATAAAATACAGAATAGGGCTGGGGATGTCGCTCAATGGTTAAGTGCCCCTGAGTTCAATTCCCAATACTCTCACCCCCCAAATTTCCTAAATAATCAAAGTTTCAGGTATTTTATAGGATTTTGTTCCAAAACAGGTTAACAATATGGTGTTATAGTTAATTTCATTAAATTCACTTTTGAGTTATTTGGACTCCTCATTTTAACATCAACATTTTAGTTTGTCTTCAGATATTAATCTCATAAAGATGCTTTGCAGAAGAAATTCTGACTTGAACATTTTTTCTTAGAATTGTTCTTTATTTTTAATTAAGCATGACAAGATAAATGAAACATTGTGTGCTATGCTTTTCAGAGTAATCATTTTACCTCTGCTATTTTAAACACTACAAATCATTACTTTTGTTGGTTAGGTCATAACAATATTCTTCTCAAATATGTTTAGATATTTATTTGCTGCTTTATTTTTTGGCTAAGTGCAAAACAAAAATTCAGTTGAGTTTTCAACCAGGAAAAATCTTATACATTTTAAGAAAGTAATCAGAATTTATCAGGAAGTACTAAAAGAGAGCTTCAAGTTAGCCTTAAATCCTTCAGTTTTCTTGTCAAGCTACCTTCGTCCCCATTCTTGGTCTCTTAAAACGTTGCGCTTGATTTTTCCAGTGATTGTCTTTGGGAGTTCTTGAACAAATTCCACCTAATTGACAGGCATATTATGAGACACTTAATTCCATTGGCTTATCCCAGCTGTCAGTGTAATAGGAGAGAAGGCTCATGAAACTCAGAGGCTGAATTTTAGCTCTAGAGATGGTCTTAACCTGAGCTCATTGCATTTTGTAGGCACCAGAAACTGGTCTGTTCAGATAGTAAGGACCACAGGGCAGCTGCCTCTTACTGGTGTTTAGTGTAAATTCACTGTGGGCTCTGCCAGAAGAAAGTAACTCCTTTTGCCCCTATGTTTTCTCTCTAGACTTGACCATAAAATCCTGACTGTTCCCCTCAAAGTAAGATTATGGGGAAAAAAAAAAAAAGATGTATTTTAAAATGTCATCAACCCTCATTTCTGAAAATCAAAGGGTTTATTTAGTTTAATGGAGAAAGTGTTAAAATGGTTGATTAGTTATTGGGTTGAAATTAACTTCCTTTTGGCTCAAGTGGCAACTGAAATGGAATTGTTTCAGAGAGGATTAGTCCATATCAAGCAGTAGGCCTCCAGGGCAGGAAGGAATCTGCAGTTCTGTCTGTACTTAGGATTGTTTTTGAGTCCTCTCTTGAAGAAGGTTTCGGGGAAGATCCTTCTTTTGGATACTATCTTCCTGAGCCTTAAATGAGGTCCCTTAATACTTTCAGGCATGCACCTTGAATTTATAGGCCTATTAGGCCAAGAGTACCAAGAAGAATCAGGTGCCATCCCTAAAAATAAGTCACTTTGGCAGATACTGCCTCTATTCTCCTCCCCATGTGGAATAGAACTAAGAACTAATTAGTTATATAGATTCTTACTCTGTAATTCAGAGGTTTTTTTTTTTTTTTTAAACCTAGTTTATCACATATTTGTAGTGCCCTGATAAGTTACATTTTAAAGCAAAATTTTCAGGCTAAACTGAAAAAGTATACTATAAAGTCAAAATCCAGTAAAATCTATAGACCTGCTTAGACCCTAGTTTGGTAACCCAAAGGTGTACTTGCCTTTCTTGGATATTTGTAAGGTGCAGTTGATTTTTTCACATGATCCTGAAGCTCCAGAGTTAATTTCTCAGGGTTGGAGGATTTGAAAGGTGCAGATAACACAACAAAAGCTTTCACCACCTGGCAGGCAAAGAAAAAAACAAAAACATAAAACATTTACATCGCCATCTTTGTTTTTCAGACAAGGGCTGAAGGTAGGCACTGTTAATAGCAACCCATGATAAGTGCAGTCACCTCTGAACAGAGCTTGTACACAATTATAAAGTTTGATAGCTATTTCCAGGTAAATGAGTTGTGAGTGAGGGGTGCAGCGATGCTTTTATGGCTGAGTTCTGTTTATATGTCACATATTTAACATTTCCCTTGACCGTGTTACTAAACAGGCATCATTAATTGACAGACGACCCCTTACGCCAACAAGCCTATAAAAGAAGCATGTTGTTGCAGGACAAGTGGAAGGTCTAGAGAATATGGTTTGAAGGGGTGTTGGGGAGCCCTAATGGAGGAAGGATGATGTGTCAGTAATGTGCGTTTGACCACAAATGCCTCTAAGGTGTTTCTTGCCTCCTCTGTTTTGCCTCTCTTTAGAGCAATTAGATCATTATTGGGTTAGCAAGCCTACTTCAAATGATTATTCATACATGGATTCTAATAGGTATATACTTTTGGTGTCCTGAAATCAAGAGGAGACTATTTTGGAGAATGTGATTAGATGATAGTGGAGGGGGTCCAGGCAGTAGGGGCACAGGATCCCATGTTCCTGCAGAGGGTCTCTGGCAGGAGAGAGGGAGGAACAGAAAGCTGTGGGAGGATGCTGATAGGCACACTATTGGGGGATTTTTTTCCCCCACTTGCTGAGTCTGGAAACTTTCATGAGGAATGGAAATTCTCCTTTCATGTTATAAGGCTTCCTCCTAGAACTAAGGTTATTACTGTCATTGCCTTAATAACCTTTCATTAGACCCTAAATGGCCATGGGACTTATTTGATGAGTCTGGCCGCAATCTATCTGTATCTTTTCTGTAAGAAACTGTATTTTGAGCTCCCTAACAATTTTACAGACTGAAGTCTATTGCTTTTGTTTATGTACCATCTGTTCCCCGTTTTTAGTAACAGTGTTTGTAGTTTCCTATGGAGCATTACCCTAACTTCTCCCTGGTGGGGTTGGTACCAGCCCTCATGTCTGATGACAGGCATGTGACCCAGGCCTGGCCAGTGGCCTCTATCATTCTTTGGACCACATTGGCTAGAGACGTGATCTAAGATGGGCAAATGAGATCATGGAAGTTACTTGAAACAGTTGAAAAGAACTTTCTCCTTTCCTGGAAGGGTGGGGAGGATTATTAAGCCACAGGAGCCTGGAGTTGGTTGTTATCAACCAAAGTGTTCAAATGGCGCCAACTTAAGCAACAACAGAGCCAGACATGGAGAGAGACTGTCACGCTAACTTCACTGAATGCTTGGCTATATCTGCTCCTGAATACTTGTTTGTGTGAGCCCCCCAAATAATAATAATAATAATAATAATAATAATAATAATAATAATAATAATAATTATTATTATTATTATTTATAACTGAAGTCAGTTTGAGTTGAATTTCTGTCCCTTGCCACCTAGAGAATCCTAATCCTCAACCAGGAGCAGTGGCACACACCTGTAATCCCAGCTTCTTGAGAGGCTGAGGCAGGAGGATCGAGAGTTCAAAGCCAGCCTCAGCAAAATGCGAGGTGCTAAGCACTCAGTGAGACCCTGTCTCTAAATAAAATACAAAAAGTAGGGCTGGGGATGTGACTCAGGGCCCGAGTGACCCTGAGTTCAATTTCTGATACCAAAAAAGAGAAAGAAAAAAAAGAGAGAGAAAATCCTAATCCTCTTTGGGACACAGCTCATTTGTAAAGTTGATTGCCTACTACACTATTTTTAAATTTTTTTTTTAAAATTTTTTTGGCCACATGTATGCCCTATGAGCGACCACTCTTGATTTAGTCTTCGCTGTGGTCAAATGCACAGAAGTTGAAATACAAAATTGCAGCTGCAATGAATGGCGTTGGCTCTACCTCTCCCCGGATTGGATCTGGACTGCTGACCACGGCCGACTCCACGACCGCAGGGTGCTCTATGAGTGCGCTCTCCACTTCGAAGGGCCCAATGCGGTACCTGCGGAGGAAAAGAAACCTTGGATGCTGTGCTCTCCCAGCGGATTGCCCTCCCCAAATTGCCCTTCCCTATTGAGAAGACATGCATTATATTAATATGTAAACTTGATTTTCTGTAGTTACATATTTCATGACCATGAAACTCAATGAATCGTCACTTCCTGCGAGTGGCAAAGGTACAAACCCAGAGGATATGATGACATCATCAGCTCTGCCCACAAACCAAAAGTACCCATCGCCGTCCTTCACGCCTCTGTCTCCGGTGACATAAAAATTTCCTCTTAGGGTGGCAGCAGTTTTCTCTGGGTTGTTCTAGGAATCAAAAGTGTCATTTGGGAATTAGTTTGCACAAAACAGACAGGGACATGGCACCCATTAAATGACTGGCACAGTACACATTCTACTTCTAAAGAAATGATTTTTTTTCTAAAAAAAAAATAGTTTCCAGCATAAAATACAAAAGTTCCAAAAAAATGTAACAAAAGGAAAGTCTCTATTTTTCCTTCTGGTGCCTCCCTTTGTCCCTACTCCTGCCCCCAACCTGTCCTTTCTGAGGACAGCCGCTGCACCTGGTTTCTTACACCTGGAATTTAACCTTGACACTTAGGAGATGGATGAGGTTCTCTCCAGTTTACAGTTGATAAAATACACGGGGATTTGTCACTCGCCCACGTTTAATATAGCAAGACATGTTGGGTGGAAATTTGCACATGTCTGCATTTCTCCATTTTCATACCACATATTCAGAGAAGAAGCAGAAGGGCCGTGTGGACTTCAGTCTGAGAGCAATTTCCCCCTCTTTGCCAGGTGGTAGGACATTGCCGTTTTCGTCTATAATCTGAGAACGCAACAAACAGTTCAGGTTCTGACATTTTTTCTTTTCACAAAATGACAATGGGTTGTGAACAGCTGTGTAAGGAGGGGCAGGGAGCTGCCAAAACAGCTCTCTTCCTCAGGGAGCCCCATAACTTCTCAACCCACCTGGACATCGTAGGGCAAGACGCCTCTCCCCATGGAGCCTGGTTTGATTTCTTGTCCTTTCACGTTGGCACAAATTATTCCCTATTGAGAAGACATGCATTATATTAATATGTAAACTTGATTTTCTGTAGTTACATATTTCCTGACCATGAAACTCAAGATTCCATATTGACTCATTTCCCCCAGTAGGCAAGCTCATCTTCTCATCTTCTAATATATTACTCTAGAACAGATTCCAACTTGAGTGGGCCTGGGAATCACCTGGAATGTTATTACAACATAGTTTGCTCATCCCAGAGTTTCTGATCCCACACGTTTGCGGTAGGGTCTGAAAATCTGCCTTTCTAACAAATTCCCAGACGACGCCAGTGAGTCTGGTTTGAGGACCATACTTTGAAAACCACTTCAAAAGACTCCATGATGTGACTCTTGGAGAAAATTCCCCACAGACAACAATGGAAAGATGGGCAGCTCATTCTGAGCCTCACCGACCCCTGCAGCCCCTGAGTTTCTCCTGGGTGGAGAGGAAGCAGGAATACTATAGAACAATAGCAATTCCCCTAAGTCCAAACCAAATTAGGAAATTCACGAGTTTTGATAACTCCTGGAAACGTAAGTTATTTTGGGAAATGACATAAAAATTCAGAGCAGGATCGGGGCACCTCAGGTGTTCAGTTGACAGACCTGGGACTGAAAAATCCCAGTGTCCACATCTGCAGGTTCTGTATCCTTGGATTCCACCATCCAAGTGTTGGAAATATTTGTTTTTGAATTGCATCTGTAGTGAATACGGGCACTTCCTCCTTTTTATTTCCTAAACAGTACAGCACAACAGGTATTTAAGTAGCATTTATATTTTGTATTACATATTAAAATTTAAATCATATTAAATTTAAATCATCTTTAAATTTTAATATTACATATTAAAATTTAAAGATGATTTGAAGTGTCCAGGAGGATATGTGTAGGTTAGATGCAAATGTTGCACCATTTTATATAAAGGGACCTAAGCATCCCAGGATTTCCGTATTATCCTCTGGGGTCCTGGAAACACTCCCCATCAGTACCGGGGCACCACTGTATTGAACTTAAACTCTGCCCTTAAATATACCACTTCTGTCTGTCCGTAGCCCTCGTACAGCTGCAGCCCAGTTTGCGCCTTCCACTGTTCCAACACCTCCGGGTTGAGCGGTTCCCCTCCCGTCACACAGTGCCGAAGCTTCTTGAATTTGTACCTAAAGAGAAAGAGCTGGAGGTAGTCTTGGGGGAGAGAGAGAGGGGTGACTTTCACAGTGAGATAAGGAAGACATTCAAGCAACAACCTGGAGAGCTAGGGAGGCAAGTCTTGGAAAAGATCCCTCCACACACGTTTGTTGAATGACTGCCATGTCGCCAGACCATTAGTGATGAAAAGAGTTTCCTGAAGGAGTTTACACTTTGGCCAGGGGGGCGGGGGGAACTTGGCTATTAAGGAAAAGCCTAGAAGAAAATGCTAAAAATAAGTAATCGTGAGACAATGTAACAACTAACAGCAATTAGGGCTTTAGGAGCCCTCTTAGACTCTGTTTTACAGATAAGGAAACAGACTAGAAAGGTTAAAGAATTTGCCCAAGCCCAGGGGCCTTGGGAGGCTGAGTTGGGAGGATCGTGAGTTCAAAGCCAGCCTCAGCAATAGCAAGGTGCTAAGCAACTCAGTGAGACCCTGTCTCTAAATGAAAACACAAATAAGGCCAGGGATATGGCTCAGTGGGCAAATGCCCCTAAGTTCAATCCCGGTACCTGCCACCCCTCCAAAAAAAAAAAAAAAAAAAAAAGAATTTGCCCAAGAACTCTGGAATAATAAGGGCTTAGGTGGATGCTCTGTAGGGCACATGTAGCACACATCTCTCCAAGCATGTCACTTACAGTGAATTCTCACCACAGCCCTGGGTGTGGGGGAGTGGGGTGGGATGATGCTTGCTCTCTCTTTTGGATGGAGTTGATGGAGGCTTGGCAAGGTCATCATGAGTGTCTGAGGTCACACCATGATAGCAGAGTGTGTTTGACTTTGGAGTTGAGCTTCTAACCACTGGCCTTACTAGACTCAGCTGAGGAACCCTGGACCAGCCTGTCTCTCACACAGGGTGGTCCCAAATGTTCAGGAGGGTGTGGGTAGGGCACAAATTGTGTGTATTTAAAAGAACCATTGAACAGCCTTTGAATTGTCCTTGAAATGTGAACACAAGAGTGTTGAGAAGGGAAGGCCAGGGATGCTGGGTGAGCGCCTTCACTGTGGTTCACACGGAGACTCCTGCCCACGTACCTCTTGAGGTCTTTCTGCACAAGCATCCGGTACACCGTGGGGGCACTGCACATGGTCGTAATGGGGTAACTGACAAGCGTCTGGATAATGGAGAGATACAGAGATGTTAGAAACCGTCCACGAAAGGCCATGACTAGAAGGGAGGCCTGCAGCCTGTGGTCTCTTCCACCAGCATGAACCCATCTCTCGGCTGCTTCTAGGAATAAGAAACCAAGTATGTATTTGTTGTCACTAGTGACCATGTATCTGTTGGGCATTTCTGATCACTGTTAAGAATGTGTATCTGGGAGGGCTGGGGTTGTGGCTCAGTGGTAGAATGCGTTGCCTAGCATGTGTGAGGCCCGGGGTTTGATCCTAGGCACCGAATAAAAATAAATAAATAAAGGTATTGTGCCCACCTACAACCATATATAAATATATATATATATATATATATATATATATATATATATTAAAGAATCAAAAGAAATAAAAAGAGTGTGTGTGTGTGTTTCAGAGACAGACAAGACACACACCATCCCAACTGACAAGCAAATTGTTGAATTTGAAAACAACCCAAAGTAAGAACTGGTCTGTTCCACCCAAGGGCTGTGTGTGTTACCTTTCATGGTGGAAACTTATAACGTTCTTGCTTTGTGGTACCGACTGACCCACTGGTACCTCCCCAGCACCTTTCCCACAGAGAATATTAGTCCTTTTGAGTGGATTGAGTCAAGGCAGAAATGGGCATTTTTCAAGGCCTTTTGTTCATGGTTTAATGGTTTAAAATCTGATGGGCACATTTTGTCTCCAGTTCCTTAAATGACCTAGGCATCTAAAATATAAAGGAATATTAATGTTTCCAAGATCCTCTGTCTGGAGGAACAAGTTTCACTGTGTCAATGTGTTGACAATTGTATTAAGCTTAAGAATCTGGGAGAAGGCTCTCTAGATGTATATACAGGCTATCTGGATTGTCATAGATCAACAATAACCTGTGAGCTGAAAATGAGCATTTCTGCCATATGTTCCCTAGATTTAATTTTTTTTTCTGTAGTGCTGGGCATTTGAACCCAGGGCCTTATGCATGCGAGGCAAGCACTCTACCAACTGAGCTACATCCCCAGCCCCACTAGATTTAATTTTTAATAAGCGTAATGTATACATCTAAGAAAAGCATAAATCTATAGAGGTTTTTATAGCACTTACATTATCTTTGTAAAATACATTATCTTTGTAAAATAAAAATGCTCTTATTTTACAAAATAAGTTAGAGACTACAAAGTGAACTGATCTTCAGGGCCTTCTGTAAACCTGATAAAGAAATCTCAGCCCTTCTTTACTTTGTATTTCTCTCACAGCCCTGGAGACCTTGTGTCAGAGCAGTTTGCAGATAACAAAGGTGTACTGTGTATTTAATATGTACTTTGTCAAACTTAATTGATTTTTCATGGATGAAATATAATTGGTCTGAATCACAGTCTTCTAAAGGCTAAGCTATCAGATATCTGAATCTAGTCATGTCTGGCTGAGCTGGAAATGCATGCCTGGTTTCCAGAAGAGTCTGCCAATTAAAATGAGATGCATTCAACAAATAAAAAAGAGAGAGAGAGAGAAGCATTTAATTGTGGGTGGGGTGGAGAATGGAAGGAGCTGCTTTAGGAGAAAGATGGTCCCACCTGCAATCTCCTCCACACAGGAGTTTGGCTTTATCAGTTATTGTCTTATGTTTCTTTAAACCAGAAACAAAAATCTTTGTTTCATCTTGAGATTTCTAATCTGTTATTTGAAACCAGGCTCCTAATGAAGCCAGATTTAAAGTTAGTTAATCAGTGTAGTTAGGTAAATCCGGGTCTAATATCAAGTGAAATCTAAAATGGAGGCCATGAGAATGAATTCCCGGAAAAGTTGAGCAACTCTTGAAATGTTAATGAAGTCCAGGAAATAGCCCCCAACAGATTTGAAGATAGCCCATCCCAAAGAAATGTTAATGAAGTCCTTCCTCCCCAGATTACTTCTTTGGCTCACCTGTGTCCCACCCCTTGGGCCTTCCAACCTACATTCCATCACTGAAAGAACTATAAAAAGGGGAAACAAGCGCACTTCCACGGATTCCACCTCTTGGGTCCCCTTCTTCCTCCGGGAGAAGTCTTTTCTGCTGTCCTTTAATACACTTCTAATTTCCACTCTGACCTTGCCTCGGCGTGCTTCTCTGGTGTTATTCTTCAACATTGGGGAAGCAAGGACTTGTCACCGGTCAACAGCGGTAACATATTGGAGGTCCCACCGAGATTCTACACTGAGGTAAGCGCCTCTCCACGCACCCCATGTCTGTCTGAGGTGCATCTTCCTCTTTCTTTCTGGAGGGTTAGGTGGGCACCCGACGGCTACTTAAACGCAATTAGTGCAGCCGCCACTCTTCAAGACTTGGGTGAGAGGTTTCCCGGCCTAGGCAGCTCTCAATCACCTGTTCAATACAGAGCAGGCATGTTGGGTTCTGTCAAAGCGGCTTCCAACTTTTCTGTCTGGGCCCGGAAAGCAATTGGCGTGAGTACACAGTGTCCTGAATCCTGATCTGCTTCGGATGCGTGGAGGTGGAGGAAGGAGTTTGGAAAAACTGCGGAATTCCGGTCTGGGCTACACTCAGATGTATTCCTAAGGTTCCTTTCTCTTGAGCCCCCTCCCGACAGCCCTCAGGGGTATCTAGGGTGATCGGTAGGTGAATGGCACTGAGGGAAAGCCCCAGTTACATTTGCTTCTGTGTGGGCTACGCAACACTCCCAACCCTGCATCCATTCCCTCCTGGATGCTCCCCTTCCTTCGCAGGTCAGAAATGTTAGCAATTCAGGTTGTAGGACTGAGAGAAAGGCATGAGATAATTTGTAAAATCTGCCCAGGTTCCCTAAGGTGCATAGGTAACTTTCACTAGTCTGTTTTACCGACCCAATGTTTAAAATGTGCTGTGTTCTCTTTAAGCTGCTAGAGAGGCATTTTTAGAATCAACTCCTCCGGTAATCTCTCTGATAGAAAGCGCTACCTTACAACCGGTAGATTTCCCTTACCCTTAGGCGGTTCCTTTAGTCTACAGAGCAAAGGCCAAAAAAGAGTGCATGATTCTCTTTTGCAATGGGTTTTTAGTGGCCGGGAGGATAAGCAGTAATGCCCTTAAATCTGAATCCTCCCAGGGTCTCTGGCACAGGGCAAACTGAGACCCTAGCACTTTGCCAAAGGGGACCAGAAACCCCTTGGCAAAGCAAGGTGAGAGATGGGTTTTCTGGACCATTTAGGAAGCTCAAGCTTAGGGAGACGTCCCTAATGAGAACAGTTTTCTCCAGCATGGTGCGGGCGCCTGAGTCCAGTTTTCTTCTCACTCAGATGGGAGCTTCTCTCTCTCTCCAATACGCCAGGTGCACCACTAGCCTGCGTATTGAAAAATTGGGATAGATTTGACCCTCAGACGCTCAAGAAAAGGCGCCTCATTTTCTTGGCCTGGCCTCAATACAAACTCTCTGATGGAGAAACCTGGTCACCAGAGGGAAGTATCAATTTTAATACAATTTTACAGCTTGATAAAATTTACAAAAGAAAAGGAAATGGTGTGAGGTGCCATATATTCAGGTTTTCTTTGCTCTAAGGGAAAATCCTAAATTATGCCAACAGTGTAAAGTAGACTTAGCTATGATATCTGCCATGAAGAGAGAAAATCTTGGGGACTCACTGAGGAAAAAAGAATCAGGAGGACCCACAAAATCTCAATCTGCTGGCCTCTCTGCGTCTGCCCCAACAGGCAAACCAAATATATTACCTTTCCAGGAGATGCCAGGAGAATTTGGGCCGATCAAAGTACATACCCCCTTCTCCCTTCAAGACCTAAGACAGATAAAAACTGACTCTTCTGCAAAGTTAGGAGATATGCTAGATTGCCTGGATTGGACCTAACCAAAGGAGCTAATCCTGTAAGTAAAAGGAGAGACTGAGGGACTCCCAACAGCTGCCAAAGCCATTTTGCTTTGGGGAACTTCCTCATTTCTTCCCTGCACTGTAAGGATTGCACCATCTCTGTCTACTTATAAAGAAGGGGACACTGAATGCAGTAAAGTTGCCACACCGAGACCCTTGATTTTACACCTTATAGTTGCCCCTATGTGAGAACATCTGGTCCACTCGTGGGGAAATCTATGGTGCCACTGATGTAGGAGTCATAATTAAATGGGAGTTAGAAACCTGGGGAGATTTTTCTCTTATCTGGTCTGTTTTAAAGGTTATTATAGATTGTTTCTTGGGGATGATCTTGGCTGAATGTGTATCTAAAATATGATTTTTTATTGTAACAACCTGGTATCTGAATGGGTTTTTTGAAGCATTGCACAATTTTGCAGTTAAAAGTTGGGTTTAGGTAATTGTTTAGTTTATGATTTCAGATAGCTCATGCTAGATAACTTAAATACTTAGGATGGAAAATTAAATAACTCTACTTCCAAGTTGGCAAGTAACTCCCAATCATTTAGTTTTATTTTTTCATCAATTTTTGAACTGGGTAGCCTAAAAAGATTTCACTAGGTGTACCAGTGCATTAACTTGGGCAAGGATAGTAAATTATGATATGGTATCTGTTCCCCTCAGTGTGTAAGATTTAGGAAAGTGTTAGATTGGGACGCTGGTCTGGCTTATTAAAATGACATTGAATAGCAACAGTCTTGGGAATTTTTAAAGCTTAATTTTGGATACACATGGTAATGTGTGGTTCTCTATTGAAATTTTTTCAGGTAATTTAATGTAACTTAATACTACTTTAGAAACTTCAGAACAAAGGAAGTGGCTTACTGATCCTGAAGGAATTTCTTCTGATGGTAGCTTTTATATTATCAAGTAAGATCCTATTTTCAGTTTTGTGTGAACAAGTTTTTCTAGTTTAGGAAGACATAAAGGTATGAAATTTTGTGAATTGTATCTTAAACTTGTATCATAATTTTCAACATCCAAACCTAAAAATTGTGACTTATGGTTAAAATGCCTTAGGCATGAATCTTCTCCTCAGAATTCCAGTTTTTCTTGCTCCTTCCAGACTTCACGCAGGATTTAAGTTGAAATGCAAATAGAAGAAGCCTGTGAGCTCAGTAGGAGACTGAGCTGAGGCCCAATGGAAAAAAAAAGTAAAGGTGTCTTTTACCTGAACTCAAACTAGATTAAACCAAAAAGTAAATTGTATGGCATTTACTAATTACTGGCTGGTCATTTTTTCTAGGACTTCTGCTTTTTCTTAATTATGTATTTTTTTGAGCTCATGATTTTGATCCTACAGACAAGTAAATGTTTTTCTCATAAGTTCTATTTTTGATCAACTGTGGAGTTTTTAAACATTGCAATGGAGATTTCACCTGAGAAAAGCTACAAGGCCTTTACCTATTGTGTTATGTGTTACACTTGTGATATGTGTTATGTGTCATATGTCTGTATGTGTCTATGTCCATATATCATGCAGTGATATGAGGAGCCTCATGAAATAAAAAAAAAAAAAAAGGATCCAAATATCTTTGATTCACGTGATTTAAATGGTTCAATTTAAATTGGGTAAACAGATAAAAGTAAAGATGTCTTTAAAATTAAGCTTATAAGTTTTTCTAGGTGTTCAAAAAAGACCCTAATAAAATGTTGATGTCTATGAAGTAATCTGCCTAAATTCAGAAATTTACAAGGATTGTTTCAAAATGTGAACAAAAAAGGAGGTTAACAGATGGAAAAGAAAAATTAAAAGGTTCTAGGTATGGATTTAATAGAAGGAAAATGTGTTTCTGGATAAGAGTCTATGTGATTAAGTAAATAAGAGGGTTTAAGTAAGTGATAAAGAAGGTCTGTGTAAGTTGGTTATATATGTAAGTTTTTGAGCAAGTAATCTTAAAGAAATTAAACAGCTGGTTAAACAAGTACTGTTGTTTTAGAGAATTGTGCTATGTTATTTCTTTAAAAGCTAAACTTGGTTAATATAAAAACATCAATGTAATTGTGGTGCTATTAATGTGTTCATATCTTCCAGGTATACAAGTCTGTAAGGTAGAAGCTTTAAAAGAGCATTATATCAAGCTGGTGTTCTAAAGTTGTATGGTAATTTTAGGCTTAAAAAAAACATGTTGGAGATTTATTTATATAATTTGTGTTCTATAACTGGACTTGTTAGTGTAAGATGTAAAGTTCTATGTTACTTTTTATACTAAGATACAATTTAAATGTATTAAGTTAATGAGAGCCTAATCTGTGTAAAGGTTTTATTGCAAAACACAAAAGTACTTTGCTACTTTTCTACAAAAGGTTAAAAGCTTTAAGCCTTTCTTTAATTCATGTTTTAGGTGTGATGTTATATTGTGTTAGCTAATATTCATGTGAACTTGAGCAACAATTTATGTAGGCTTTATAAAATGATGTCTAAAAAGCAAAGATCAGCTTCAGAACTATAGTACTTAAGATTTATGAAGAACCCCACCTTACCTGAGATAAGGCTCTATGTCCCATCTCACTTCATGTGAAAGTGACTATGAAAGAAGTAGGTCAGATTTCAGTACATTTAAAGTTGTGTCCAAAAGTTGGTTTTTGTCAAGATTACTAGGATCTCAAACAGGGAATTATAATGTATAACTCTGCCAAAATTCAAGGTAGCTATTACATGAACTAAATATGTTTTTACTCTTGTTAATTTTATTTTGTAGTTTTCTTATAAATGGTCTAAAGATTGCCTGTTAATGCTTTACAGAGGTACTGCTTTAAGAACACACAACCTGGGTTAATTTAAGATAATGAGTTATCACCTACAGGATAGAGAGATAGACATTAAAGCCCAGTACTCTTAATATAAGGCTGTTGAAATTTATTTGCTGGATGTTTAAGATTAAGTTTTAAAATTAAAGTTAAATTAAAAGGGCCAAGAAAAACCAATGTTTGGCTCTTGCCCTCTGAGTCAGTCTGAATCCAGGGAGGAGGGGACTTCTCCAAAGAGCTTTGCAACTCTGGGCCACATAACCTCCCAATCAGGGAGATTAATGAGACCACTCGAGAACAGAAAGCCAATCGGTGCATTTGCTATGAAGAGGAGAGTCATCAGAGAAGGGAGACATCCCTGATGCTTCCAAGGGAAGCCACATGGTCAAGCAAAGCCTGGACCCATCCTAGCGCAAATGGCACTAGCGGAACTGAGAAGCTGCTGTAAAGTTCCCCCATGATTCCATGGAAACACAGCTGACTGTTAACAATAGATAAAAACAAGTCAGTTTGACTACTTCATCTTAAACACTTAGCAAAGATAGTTAAAATCAAAACACAGCTATTCCAGGGCATTTTAAATAATAATAGCTAAATGTAACATCCAAGAATAAGTAAACTGGAGGCTACAAAAGAGATTCTTAAGCAGGAATGCCTGATAACTATTAAAAAGAAACTGCCAGAGTAGTTTTTAGTTTGAGGCCTACAGATATTCCTAACCTACACAGGTAGACTTGGTGTTTGCTAGTATGATTATCCAGCCCTAAGTAACAGAATTAAAGGTCTCTCTATTAGACACAGAGGTCATACTAGTAAAAGGATTTTGCAAGATCAGATGACATTAAATTATTAAACTGTATCTTAAGGGAAAGGACATCTGTAACCCTAAAAGTTAAATGTTGTGTTTACATCCCTGACAATTCTGGCAATGTGACAAATATCCTTAAAGATTTATATGCTTAGATAGAAGCCATGTCCTCACCAACTTTGTCATGGGAACAATATCTTAGCTCCTGGTTCTTTGGTACTTCCTGGTGGAAAACATTGTTAGTCTCTGTCTTTGTCATCATACTCATTGACATATTCCTGTGCTATGGCATTTATTGCTGCATCAATATGGTTCCAGTACTAATGAATTCTTGTTTCTCTTATAGACCACCCATCACTCAAATGGCCTTCCAGCCTATTACTTCTCAATCGGACTTTTATCATGGACCACTCGATAGACCCGATTTTTAAAGGGGACTCCAAACTGCTTGCCCCACATTGTCCCCTTTCAGCCTGAAGAAGCCAGAAGGATCTTCACCCCCTTTCCTTACAGCAGTAAGGAGTTCCCAAAATTAGAGGGGGGGAATGAAGCCAGATTTAAAGTTAGTTAATCAGTGTAGTTAGGTAAATCCGGGTCTAATATCAAGTGAAATCTAAAATGGAGGCCATGAGAATGAATTCCCGGAAAAGTTGAGCAACTCTTGAAATGTTAATGAAGTCCAGGAAATAGCCCCCAACAGATTTGAAGATAGCCCATCCCAAAGAAATGTTAATGAAGTCCTTCCTCCCCAGATTACTTCTTTGGCCCACCTGTGTCCCACCCCTTGGGCCTTCCAACCTACATTCCATCACTGAAAGAACTATAAAAAGGGGAAACAAGCGCACTTCCACGGATTCCACCTCTTGGGTCCCCTTCTTCCTCCGGGAGAAGTCTTTTCTGCTGTCCTTTAATAAACTTCTAAATTCTACTCTGACCTTGCCTCAGCGTGCTTCTCTGGTGTTGTTCTTCGACATTGGGGAAGCAAGGACTCGTCACCGGTCAACAGCAGTAACACTAAGCAGTCACAGATTTCGTGACACTAGAAATCCTGAGTGGTTTGAGCTTAAGTCTGGGTCTCCCCCTTGAGAGTGGTGGGGTGATCCCCTCCACTCTGTCAAATGCATTCAAAAGCCTAGTCCCAGGAGGGTGTGCCTCTGAGAAAGGAATGACTTTCAGAAGCCCTATATTCTGAGGAATCATATTTTTATTTGTATGTGGTGCTGAGGATCGAACCCGGGCCGCACGCATTCCAGGCGAGCACGCTACCGCTTGAGCCACATCCCCAGCCCATGGAATCATATTTTTAATAGAAGATGGGATGTTGCTCTAAAGAGACATGTAAGAGAGGCCCCAACTTACATCCAGGAAGGCGTCGGTGTCAAACGAGGCCATCCGATGCACAAAGACGCAGGCGCCCCAAAGCCAGGAAGAAAACACACTACCAATGGCGGCCTTGATCCAGCCTGTGTCTGACATGTTCCATATGACATCGGAGGACTTCAAGTCCAGCCAGTATCTGAACAATACGGAGAGGCAACAAAACAGACTCCAAATAAATCAGTACAAACAAAAACAGAAACAGGAAAGCAAATAAACGAGTGTCTCTGAGGAGTGGCCATGCCCTAGAACCTCATGGGCTAGACAGAAGGGGTCAAGGGAAGCCCCAACTCAAGGCGAGGGGTCCCACTTCCTACTCTTCTCAGTGGGCTTTCTCAGGAATCCTAGGTAGTCCATGCCTGGAGTGGGAATCTGGCTTTGGCAGGATTTTCTGAGCTCACCCATTGATGCAACAAATTATTAAGCAAATATCATGTGCTTGGCACTCTTCCAGCACAGTGAGCCAGAGAGACTGAATCTCCAAGAAGGGGAATAAGCAAACAATAAAGTAATTAAGTATGTAATAAATATACCATGATTTAAACTGGTGATAAGTGCTGTGACATAAATAAAGCAGGGTCTTCGAGGGTCTTTTTTTTTTTTTTTAAGGAAGGCCTTTCTGGGTAGGCGAATTACCTGGCAATGAGGAGAGGGAGCCCAATGTGTCATTATGGGAATTGAATCAAAGTCACTTCCTTCTTAAGTTCTTGCTTGATCTGTGGGTCAGATGGCACCATTTACTGAACTAGGTGGGACAGGGCACTGGAAGTCATTCTATGGGAGGTATCTTACAGCCATTCGAGGAGTGTTCATCAGACAGTGGATGCACCTTATGGCAGCTCTGGGAAAGAGTTCATCAAAAGCAAAGTTTTTGCTTTGAGTTTTTCCTCCTACCTTCCACAGAGGGCGTACCCAATGCCAATGCTACTGTGAGAGTGCTGAGCCATCTTCGGAGAGCCCGTGGTACCACTGGTGAAATAAATGGCCATTGGTTCTTGACTTCCTGTCTCCACACAGCTGTGCTCTTCAGAGGCAGATCTGAAAAACATGGTGGCTGGAGATGGTAGAGCCATTTAACTAGAATGTTCCTTTTGCTCTGAAACAATAGCTTCCCAGAGAGGAATCCCTTAAATCTCAGAGGGACTTTGAAGATCAGTGCTAAAATCTAGCCATTCAAATCTTTTTCTTTAGCTCACCTCCTTATGAGTCAAATAGAGAGCCAAGATAGCTTTCAGTATTCATAACCAAAGGGTATGCATTTTATTTATTTAAACATTTTTTTCATAAGCGCTTTGCTTAATATGTGGAAGCCAGACCAAAATAAGGAGAAAAGGGGGTGGGGAAAATCGTATGGAAATAGAAGAGAGATCGGTGGAGCAGAGGAAGGGGATTGAGGGGAGGGAGGAGGGACAGGAAGAGGGAGAACAGCGGAATAAAATTGACCAAATTATGCTATGTGCATATACGGATATACCCCCATGATGATAAAACTCTGATTTTGCTCTGGTACCAGGCAGTCAGCTGCTTCAGGGGAGATCCTCTCTGTACGGCTCCTCAGGATAAGTCTTGATGAACTTAAGCCAATGATGGTTTAGGAGCAGACACAATCTGCAGCTGCCCAAAAGGGTGTGTAGTCCATTTTTTGTACACTTTAGCTATTTTTTTCCCCTCATATCTTTGTTTATGCTCTTCCTGTGCCTAGAACATCAACTTTATTACCTCAAGATTAGAGTTCAGGACCCTTTGCACTAGGACAGGAAAAGAGAAGCATCAGTCTGGTCATAATCTTGACTTTTCCCCCATCCCATCTAGAATATTCTAGAAAGCGTTCATGGACTTCTATCCTAGGAAGGCAGAAGGAAGGTGAGAGGTCTTCAAATGAACTCCTTCAACAGAAGATTGATTGGTGCTCATGATGTAAAATTGCCCTTGCTATTTCTCTGTGTGATTTATCTGACTTGGCCATGAGATAACTATCCAGACCTCAGTTTGTAGAGGAACGATCCATGGTCTTTTTGAAGTTATGACACTCCAAAGTTTTTTGAAGTGGGGATTCCCTCCATCTCGAAAACTGCCCTCCAAATGTACAGAATTACAATTTGAAATTCATGTAATTCATTTTTCTTCTTTTGTGAATTTTATGCCATTTTAAAGCTTTCTTGGAGACTCAAGAGTTGTTTAGGATGGGGGGACTGTCTCTGAGGTGGAGTGGGGTTGCTGCTCACAGAGTGTGCAAGATAACTGGGATGGAAAAGAAACAGGAGAACTTCAAAGTGTGGATTTAAAAAAAAAACTTATTCTTTAAGATTTTTTTTAATTTTGGTATTTGAATAATGCACAAAAATATATGTGTATAATTTTAAAATAAATACGTTTGGGGTAGTGTGTTAAAAAGCATTTTATCAATGGAAATACGTAGACAAATAACCTGGATGTCCCTAACCTTAGGAATCAATACATGTGGAATTTGAAAATGATAGTGCGATTATAATTACAGCTGTGTTTATGGAGTGATCGTTTTGTGCAAGGGCATTGTGCTAACATATCTCCTGCTTTATTGCATCTGATCATCAATATAAATAAAGGAAATTTATCTTCCTTTAATAAAACCACGGCTCAATACTATTGTTATCCACATTTTATGGGTAAGGTACAGACTTTCAGAAAGATTATTGGGCTTATCTAAGTTTATACAGCTTATAACAAACAGGACACCGATGTGAGCCCTGGGGAGAGAATTCTGCAATCGGCCAACAGGATTTGGTTTTCATAGAGTAAAATTACTTCCAACCAAGGGAACTGCTCTGGTATCCAACAACGTTTACATGTCTTCTCTTTCTGTGTACTTCTTTGGGAAAGGCTTTTGAAAACCTTTATTTATTACATGTCATCCAAGTGAATCAGTAATTTAGATTAAGGGAATGTTGATATGTCCCTGAATTAAACTTTGTTGATTTTCAAATAAAAAAAGAACAAAAACATAACATAACTTATTGAACACCTCTTTGAAGGATAATACTATTAATTAGCCTTTTACCTACATCTTTTACAGCTCAGAAAGGACTTTCTCACATATTAGCTTTTTTTTTTTTTTAATCCTCAAGACAACATTTAAGATATATGCAGTAGAATCCTCCATATTTACACAGGAAGAAAACTGAAGTTAAGTGATCTGTTTTGTTCATTCATTCATTCACAAAATATTTCTTAAGTACCTGCTATGTGTTGTTAGGTAGTGGAGATAAAGTGATCAACCAAACAGACAAAGGAAGCCTCTGCTTTCTTAGAGTTTTAGAGCTTGTTAGTTAGGGCAGGTGTTGATGAACCTTTCCTATAAAGGACCAGATAGCAGATATCTTAAGCTTTGTGGACCAGAGAGTCTCTGTTGCTTCTACTCAATGTTGCAGTTGTAATACAAAAGCAGCCATAAACAATATGTGAACAAATGGGCATGGCTGCCTTCCAATAAAACTTTATTTACAAAAACAAGGGGTGGGCCAGATTTGGCCTGTGTGTTCTCATATGCCGATTCCCACTCCAAAAGAGAAAAATAGGGGAAACAAATGAATGGACCTTGGAACTCAGGTAGTAACAAATGCTATGAAGAAAATAAGAGAGTGATGTGATGGAGTGGCCTGTAGCTTTGCTAGTTTGGTAAGGGAAAGCCTCACTTAGGATAAAACATTTGAGCTGAAATCAGACAGCAAGAAGCCAATGGTGAAAAGAACTAGGGAAGAGCATCCCAGGAAGAAAGAAGAGTAGGTATAAAGGCCCTGAGGTAGGACATGTTTGAGGGATAAAAGGAAGTGAGATAACGGATGTGGTCCAGAGGTTAAGCAAGGGCCAAGCTATGTAGGATACTCATTGTTGGCCACAGAAAGAAGACTGAATATGGAGGCCAGAAGGCTATATTGCTTCCTACTGCCCGTAAATCCTTTAATATGTAATTCTTTTCTAGAAGGAACCTGGGTCAACTCAGTGTTGCTGAGTCCTTGGAGACAGATTCCAAGATGTAGCTGTGATTTGTGCTCTTACTGGTGCTACAGATAGACCAGGAAAAAATACTCACTGGAATAACTGGTGGAAGCTGAGCCACCCTTCCCGGCTGTGTGGAGACACCAGGAGTTTGGTCTTCAGGTGAGGACACTCTGACATGATGGATTCTACTGCGGGGGCCACCTCCTTACTGACCACAATGCCCTTGGCCTCGGATACTTGCAGCCGGTAGAGGATGTCTCTTGCTGTCAGCTGGGTAGTTCCTGGCATGAAGACAAGCCCTGGGAAGGATAGAAGGTCCCAAGCTCAAAAGAACTGTTGTCCACTACGTAGGCCCTCTGTGGACCTTGGGCATTGTGCCTGAGCATGGAGGAGTCTCACAATCCAGCCTTCAGTTCCTCCTGCCTTGGTCCCAGGGCCCTCCCACAGGACCCTGGTCACTGGAAGTTCATTATGGCTCTGGAGACCGACAGACTCCAGGTCTAATCTCTGTCTTGTCATTTGCTAGTTTTGTGGCCTTGATCTCTCGGCCTTCCTTTATTTATCTGTGAAATGGGGATAATGGTAGCACCTGGCATATGGGAGATATTGTAATGGTGGGTGCTGATGTGACATTTTAGTGGAATTGTGGACTCATCACGGTGACACCCTAATTAGCACTGGCCGTCTTACTTCAGGTTTTCATGAACGTCATCATATTCAATCCTCTGAACCAAGAGTCTCCAAAGTGAGATTGTGAGATTTTCAAGATAATCCCATAGGAAGGAGAAAAGAAAATAACAGAACTTAAAAAAATTGAGATACTATAATACGTTTTGTGATTTTATGTCCTTTTTTTTAACCTTTATTTTATTTATCTATGTGGTGCTGAGGATTGAACCCAGTGCCCCACGCATGCTAGGCAAGCACTCTACCACAGAGCCACAACCCCAGCCCCAATTTCTTTCTCTCTCTCTCTCTCTCTCTCTTTGGTACTGGGGATTGAAACCAGGGGCACTTAACCACCGAGTCACATCCGCAGCCCTTTTTTGTATTTTATTTAGATACAGAGTCTCACTGAGTTGCTAAGTGCCTTGCTAAGTTGCTGAGGCTGGCTTTGAACCCTCGATTCTCCTGCCTCAGCCTCCTGAGTTGCTGGGATTATGGGTGTGTGCCACTGCACCTGACTCCTATTTCCTGTTTGTATATATATTTTATAACATGCATACTCTATTAGTGCAGTAGAACAGTATTAAAAAAAATCTATAACCAAATGGCAAGAGGCATGTCCTAAATATTTTTATTGATAGATTATACAACCCCAGATACCTGGAGACTACCATTCTAAGCAATCCTGGGAGGTTCATGCAGTCGTTACCATTTGATGGAGATGAAATCTGATCACAGCTGGTGAGTGGCAGAGACAACCCTCAGGTCTCTGGGTCCCCGTGGTTTAGCAACACTGAAATTTACCTAGACTACTATGGCACCGTTTCATTTATACCATTTTCTCACTTTATCCTAAACACTGATTGGACATGGGCCTCAAAGTACCAGTTCCTGATGAGAAGAACATATGTGGCAGAATTGGATGTAAGAAAGAGAGAAGGTAGTTGCATTTTCTAAAGTGAGTCTGTGGGAAAAAAAGTGGTATTATGTAAAGCATCATGGATACCCTCTATCTTCTATGGAACACTTATAATGTGCCTAGGATCTCACTTAAAATTAACCCCAGTGTGACAAGTCACTCAAGGGTTGTGGAGTCAGTGTCAGAGCCAGGGTGCAAAGATACATTACCCAGACTTCCAAGGTGTAGGCTGTATACCAGACTGCTTATTTCTTGATGAATTTCCCGAAGTTAGCTAAACAGGGAGATGTGAATTCCCAGGGAGAAGACCATATTTTATTGAATATATTTTTAAAACTCTTAAACGTCATCCTCTTATGAGAAAATGAATAACTATGCCAATATAAGGAAGTTGATTAAAGAAACACCCTAGAGGATCTCAGAACATTCACCCAACTTGAAAATATACCATTCTACCAACCACTTGTTCTTAATGAATCTTAATGAATCTCAAATAACTGGTCCCCTGGATTTGTGATGTGAATGTGTCCAAAGGATAAACTTCTATTTCAGAGGGACTGGAGTAATTTCAGATAGTAAATATTCAACAGATAACAAATATCTTGAGCTGTACTGCATGCAACTTTTCAGCAAAACCAAACTGTTCTGCCACGTGTTACAATATAATCAATCTCAGTATTCACAGAGAATATTTGTTAATTCTGAATTAGAAAACAGACCCCTCAGCTGCTTGATTTACATTGAATTAACTGAGTGCTTTTGAGCATTGTTTGTGTTTGGTTTCCGTCGGCATTTCGTAATTTGTAGTTGTTCCAAATAATATTAAGTACTTATTTTTTTTAGGACAAGTATACAACCTTTAATCTTCTCCCAACCTATGATTAGTTTCACATTAGCAAGTCATTTTTCAATAGTGAATATAAAAAGAATTTGATATATTGCTGCTTTAATTAATAATCATATTGGCAGAACATTTTTCAATATTATTATAAAATTCTTATTATCATATTAGCATCATTACTAACTTCTCCTTATTATAAATTATCCTTCAAATGCTAGCCCATGAAGTGGAGGTGCTAGAGTTTCAATCAGCAGTAAACACATCTCACCTTCCATCTTGGCTAAGTTATAATTTATGTAATCATTTCAATTTGTTTTTACTATTGTTAATGCTATTGCAACAAAGCATCTTTGTCTTCTCTATAGTAGTATCCTTCGGTATGCTTATTGATTTATTATTTCTGAATTTTTTAATTGGTGCATTATAGTGGTGCATATGGATGGAATTTGTGCTTTCGGATTCATACATGCACACCACATAGCAATATGATTTGGTCAATATTACTCCCAGCACTTTCCACCTCCTCTAGCTTATTTTAATTTGTTTATAAAGATTTATGTTGTGTTTCAGAGCAGAGATCGGCAAAATTTGGGAGGGGGGGGCAATAAAAGGCCAGCTAGTGAATATGTTAGGTGTTGTGGGGCCACATGATCAATCTTGGTCTTAATTAGCACCTCTGATGCTGTAGAACGAATGGAGCCATAGATAATACATAAATGAATGAGCACGGCTGGATCCCATTACAGCTTGATTTACAAAAACTGGTGGCCAACTGCAGGCTCTGGTTTTCTGATCCCTGCCCTAAAGGAGAAATTTTCATTTGGGGTACATTATGTTATCACTTTGGGAGAAAAAAAATATATAACTGAATATATTAATCTTTTTGTCAGAAAAAGGTAGAGGTTTTCCAATATATATTTTCTACAATACATATATTTATAAGTCCTAACATTATAAAATGCTTTTTATTTATTTTTTATTTTTATTTTTTGTATTTTCACATCAGAGAGAATCCAAATATATTCAGAGATGAAAATTATAGATCATCAGGCTGAACATGTCATAATCCAGAACTGCAAAGAAGCATTGGTACCCACATTGGCTCTTATGGAGCTTTGCATTTAAATCCTAACGGCTTGACTTTCTAGCTCTGTGCCTCTGGGCAAACTCCTTAACCTCTCTGAGAATCTCCTACAAAAAGGTTATCACTGGAATACTGACTTCTTCAGGTAGTTGGTATTGCATTATGTTTGCTCTTAATTTCAACTCTTCTCTTCCTGTCCTCAGTAAGCACAGAATAGCCAATGCTAACATTTTAGAAAAGGCTCAGGTTTTAATCTCTGTGTGTCTCTGCATGATGGAAAGATGTGACATGTTGACACTCACCTGTTCGCATGCAAGCCACATTGATGAGCCACCATTCAGGGATCCGGGGCAGGATCACGGCCACTCGGTCTCCTCTCTGCAGGCCACAGGGCTTGGTGAGCACATTGGCTGCCTTTCGGGACAAGGAGCCCAGTTCTCTAAAGCTCCATTTCACCTCGTCCCCTTGGCCATTCACCCACCACAGGGCTGGATTGGCTGGTCTCTCCCCTGTCTGGCCAGAGACATAGGAAGGAGAAGAGAAAGTGCTGTGGTTTGGAAGTGTTATCTGTTAGATGAAGGTTTGGTCCCCAGCTGGTGGTGCTACTGGAAAATAGTGGAAACTCTGGTAGGCGGGGCCTAATGGGAGGCAGTTGAATCATTGGGGGTGTGCCCTTAGAGAGGATATTGGCACCCTGGCTCCTTCCTCTCTCTCACCCCTTTGCTTCCCAGCTGCCCTGAGGTGAACAGGCCTCCTCCACCATATGCTCCTGCCACGATGTACCATGGTGACACAGCCCCAAAGCCACAGGGTCAAGTTGTCATTGACTGAAATTGTGAGCCAAAATAAACCTTTCCTCCTTTTAAGTTGTTCATCTCAGACATTTTGTCATAGCCACAGAAAGCTGACTAACGAGGCTTATAGGACTGGTTACCAGACATATGGGACATCTGCTGTTACTCATCCTCACCACCCATTCCCTTGCATTTTAGTAACAGCAGGTCAGTTTATCTCTGGGGGGACTGCTCCTCTCCTACAGAACACAGCCTTGGTGAGACAACCCATCAGGGCACTTGCCCTTCTCTGAACAGGGGGTGGGAATGTGACCAAAGTTGTGCCAATCAGACCTTTCCTCCATGTGAATATTTTAGTTTTTGGAGAGGAACCCAAAGAGAAAATGGTTGGAACCCAGAACCTGGCTCTGGGTTCTTGGTACTTCTGTGTTCCCAGGGAGCTGTCCTGGGAACATGGCCATGGACATGGCCCATGTTTGGGGCTGTTGACCTTGGATAAGTAGCTTAACTTCTATGGTTAAGTTCGTTATCTGAACCTCTCCTCCCCCAGGGTGGTTATGGGGATTTGATGAAATAATATAGGTCAGTATTTCCCAATATGATTCATTTGAGTATGGTTTCTTCCCACCAGATGTGCCTACACCTGCACTATTGTTCTTTATATTTGTCTTTACACTGATTCATTTGTATACATTTATTCAAGAAGAAAAATTCACCCAGTGGTTTGGGAGGCTGAGGCAGGAGGATCAAAAGTTCAAAGCCAGCCTTAGCAAAAGCCAGGTGCTAAGCAACTCAGTGAGGTCCTGTCTCCAAATAAAATACAAAATAGGGCTGGGGATGTGGCTCAGTGGTCAAGTGCCCCTGGGTTCAATTTCGAAGAAGAAGAGGAGGAGGAGGAGGAGGAGGAGGAGGAAGAAGAAGAAGAAGAAGAATGCATTTAATCAGTACCACTTGCTAAAAATAGGTAACAGAACTGGGCATGGTGGCACATACCTATAATCCCAGGAACTCTGGAGGCTGAAGCAGGAGGATCACAAATTAGAGACAACTTGAAAATTTAGTGAGACCCTTTCTCAAAATAGAAAATAAAAAAGGGCTGGGGATGTAGCTCAGTGATAAAGTGCCCTGGGTTTAATCCTCAGTACCACAAAAAAAAATTGTAAAAAAAAATAGATTTCAGGAATATCTATAGTGAAACCCAAAATATGCCCTTAAATTTTAACCTAAAGATAGTCAAATGCTACCTGCTCTCTCTGCTTAAAAGAGAATCTAGCAAGAATTAAGTGTTAAAGGACACAATGACCAAGATCTCAAGGAAGACTTTCCCACTTTAATTAACTAACAAGAAGGACTAATTTAACATTATTGAATGCCTTGTGGATCTGGTACCTGGCATCATCTTCTGGACCACGGGGCAGAGCATTTGGCTCAGCGCTGATACACGAAGTGTTTCATGGGGTGCCTGGCCTGGGGTGGGGTCAGAAAGCAGGGCCCTTGTCCCCAGACTGCAGTGCAAGCCCTCTGTGAGGCATGTGTGATTTATTCGTCTCCACCTCGGATCCTCCCCTAATTATCCCAATAATAATTATATCCATGAAACCAAAGCTCAAGTTACTACATTTTCGCTTAAGCCAGTGACTATCCTGAACCCAAGGACCTGTTTACATGAGACTTGGATTAAAAAAGAGGGAAAGAAGCATAAATAACTGAGTAACCGTGATATATGTGAGTGGGAGGAGGGAAGGGACCAGGCAGGCTCCAGAGAAAGCCTGATGAAGGTGAGGGCCTGAGATCTCGGGGGACAGGGGACGGCCATCGGAAGACGCAGGAAACCAGAGCAGGTTAAAGGACCGAACTGAAATCGAAGAGAGGACCCCAGGGCAAGGAAATGGAAGACAGAAGTCATCATCTCACACCTTCTCCTTTAGAGACCACTGGTCCAGCACATCCCCAGCAAAGTTAAAGTTCTTAGGCACCGACTTGTCACAGAGATTTATGGCTTCAAAGTCAGCAGTAGTCAGAGGCGCCCGAATCTGGTGATCGCCATGAAAGTGGCGGCCAGAGAGCTTGGCCAGCCAGGTGAGTCGAAACGTCCGGCAGTGGAGAAGAATCTTCATGGTCCCCAAAGGACTTTGTCTACGGATGGGGACACAGAGGTATCCCAGCCTGTGGGGAGAAACAGGTAGAGAATGTCAGCTCTGGCCATGTGCCCCTGGCACATTGAGGAGCCCCCAAAGAACACTCCATCCTTCTTCAGAGCTGTAGCCATTAGAGGCTGATGGGTCCCCTATCACTGGACTCTCCTTCTTCCATCTGCCTGTGACCAGGTTGGTTCCTACCTTCTGCCAAATAAAACCGAAAGCAGATAGAACACTTGCTGCCTGGATTGACATTGTCAACCTGTCCACCGAGTGTGCTGTTCTGATCCTGTGTGCTATCCCTCCTCCAGTAAACTCTTCATGAATGTCCACTTCTACCACTCAGAGTTGGCCTGCCATGGACCTTGATTCTGGCTACCCTGTTCTCCTTTTCCCTCAAGTTCCCATTACTATCGGTAACTGATTTGGGGGCAAATTACTTATCTTCTTTAACTTCCATGTTCTCATCTGTAAAATGGGGAAATATTATTTACCTTCCTCCTAGGGTTATTTAACAAGAAAATGTGTAAATACCTCGCTTATACCAATGCATGCAGTTGGTAACTACTGACACTGTAAAGATCATCTCCAGGAGCGCTGTTGTATGTAGCGCAGTTTCCTGGAGAGTCCTACTGTATTCATCAGGAGTTCTGGATTTCACTCTCATCTATGTCAAAACTAGCTTGGTGACATTGGTAGTCACTATTGTTTCCAGACTCCCATCTGCAATCTAATCTATTTTTACTAATTCTATAATCACTTCTTCTTTTGAATTTTCATATCTCCCATCTGTACCACTCATGTGACAGTTGTCTACCTGGTACTCTTTTTTTTTTTTTAATGTTTTTTAGTTGTAGATGGACACAATACCTCTATTTTTATGTGGTGCTGAAGATCGAACCCAGCTCTTCACACGTGCAAGGCAAGTGCTCTACCACTGAGCCACAATCCCAGCCCCCTATCTGGTACTCTTAATTATCATTTTTATCTATGTCTCCCTAATCTACCTAGATGGTGTGGGTAGAAGCTATGAATTACATTCTTTGACTACACCTGACTTATAGCCAATGATAAAAGCCAGTGTTTATGAAGTTATTGCTACAGCCCGGACACTCTGCTTTCCTGGTACCATTCACATGCGTGAGAAGCTTGAGGCTGGTGCTACTGTTATTTACATTTTGTGGATGAAGACCCCAAGGCTCATGTGGACTTAATGAACTTGCCCAAGGTCATCCAGCTCATGGTGGCAGAGGCAACGTTTGAAGCTCTGTGGTCTGGCTTCAGAGCTTGGTTTCTCTTTGCTGGTTAAGTCTCCTTTGTACTGCCTTGTCCAGTAAAGGCTTCTTGTAGATGCCGAACACCCTCACCCTCTGCCCTTTGGTTCTATGCAGTTGATTTGAATGGAGTGGAAGAATCTGCTGGTGCAGAGGGCTGCTGGGCCTGAGCACTGACATAAGAACTGAACAACAGAACAACAGAGATCCTCTCATCATTATTGCTAAGCCCTCTTTGGTGCTCAGAGTGATGTCTGCACAAATCTGCTCTAGCCCAGAAGAGCTATGTCTGGCAGTACTATCAGTATTAAACTCTCTTATGTCAGGGTAGAAAGAGGGCAACTGTCTGGGAGTGTGGTGGAGGTATCACAAGCAGAGAAAAGAGGGTAAGAAGAAACAGAGTGGGCCGTGCTCAAGATTTAGAATCCTACCAAGAGTGAGACCCCTGCATTCTCCTCCTAATGCAACAAACCCATACACACTTGAATCCGTAATTGTCCCTCTCAGTGACCTTTGCCAAGTTGCTCTCCAACTCTCCTTTTTGTCTGTGCAATGAGCAATGAACATAAAGACAATACCTTCTTTGCTGGCTACCGGTGGGGTTTAAGTGAATACCTCTTCCTGTGTCTGGTGCACGTCTGAGATTTAATAAATGCTGTGTATTAAAACCCAAACCTCAACACCATTTATGGCAGAAGGCTACTTGACATACAAAGAAAAAAAAAGTAGAAAAGCTATTGGACTGGACTAACGTTTCTTCACCTCTGTTTTAATGCCGTGTTGCTAGGCACCGTGCTGACATCTGTCCCCTTCAGCCTCAGCCCTCCTAACCTTCACTTCCATTGTTGAAACCTTTCCTGGTCTCAGTTAAATGATGCACTGGAAAGACTTTCAAGTCACAGGGCACCTTCCATACTTTTGCTTCCTACAGCGAATAGTGAAGAGAACTTAGCAAATAGCTTTTAATTGATAAATAGCTTTTAATACACATCTGTTCTCCATTTTCTCTTCTGAATTGAAAAAATGATGACATTTCACGGATTGTTTATTGCCCAGACCTCCTGAAAAGATTTTCCTTATCTTAATAAATGACCACATTAGCATACCAACAAATCTGAAACCACGTATTGTAAATAATATACATTTCATTACTGCCTGTGTTCTGTGCATTGGCAAAGAGGATTAGTCAAACTCAATCATTAGTTCATGAAAAAATACAAACCAAGATATTACAGAGTAGGACTTTTCAAGTTTCAAAAACTTCAATTTTTTTTTTGCTAATAACATTCCTTATTTTCTATCTCTTTGGTTTGCCTTTGACTTTCAGAATAGATTTGGTACAAGATGGACCTTTAAGGACACAGCAAAACTCTGAGGAGCCGCCATTTTGCATCAAACACCGCCATTTCCTGACTCGGGAGCCTGTAACAAGTTTTTATGACTCCACAGTCAAATCTGAGGGTTGAAGACTATGTTATCCCAACACATTTTCTTTGTAGAAATTTGTATATAAATATGTTTAACAAAATATCTCCAGAAAATTTCTGTAAAAGTGAGAGAGTTGAAGTAAGTGACATCCAAAGGGTGATGTCAGTTTTAGTGACTTCTTCAGAGTTCAGAGAAATCATAACAATGAGAAAAAAAATTATCAAGCACTTGGTGGACTCTCATATTAAGGACTTTCATGTAATACCTTGCTTCATTTTATCATTGGCCCTGGGATGCAAGTATTTCACCTACACACAGTTTACTATTTCATGCGTCAGATACCAGAGGCCCTGAGAGGCAAAGTAATTTACCAAAGGCCGTTCATATGAGCAAGCAGCTTCGGTTCCAGTCTCCCTTTGTTCTCTCCATAGCCAATGCAAGGAAATGCTATCCCAGAATTTTTGCTCTACTTCTACCAACTTTGGTCAGGTAGAACGGTCCATTTTTCTATCAAATGGAGAAGACCTGGGGTTGGGTCTGCAGTGATCCAATCATGGCAAGACAATACGCCTCCTGTGCTATAGATTTAAATACACTTTCACAACTTTGCATTTATTAGTGTTGCCTCTGTGTAACCACAGGCATCTGACCTTACCTGAAAAATGGTATTATTGATCCGGAAAGGCCTTCAGCTCCTTTGCAAAGACTCAGCTCTGTATCTGCCAGATTACTGGTTCCTTCCTTCTCTTTTGGTGATGTCTATGCCATTGTGGCCCCAAGTCTCTGGTGTGCAGTTGGGAGGCTCCTAATCCTGTGGGAGGAGAGTTTTTGTTTCGTGGATAACCTGTGGTTAAAGGGACAGCAGCTTATAAGACCCAGCTTGGAGGGGAGAAAGGAAATACAGGTGCAGCAATTCACTGAATCTCACAATTCAGTGCCCAACAATGGCTAAGCTCCAGAACATTAAGGGATTATACTCATTCTTGCAGCTGATGATATTGAGATCCATACTTCTCAAGTGGCCTATTACCCAAGCCTCTGGACATGATTATCAAGTAGCCCAGGACATTGGCATGCTCAATTATTATGGCATAACTGGATCTGAACTGCAAGCTTGTCAGAGTGGTAGAGCCGAAGGAACCACACCCAACCGGTCACTTGGAGGCCATTCCATTGCAAATCCTCCCAACTCCTGGCTTTTACTGAGTACCTACTGTGTGCTAGCAGCTACTAAATGTCTATCCAGATGTTATATCATTCGGAAACCATCTTGAAACAATGTTGCTGACTATCTTATGGGTGACTTTCATTTTCTTCCATTTTTTTTTCCTAAAAATATACATACATGTTTTATACCGTGAACATACCTTTCCCATATTTTTAAAATCAGAAAACTTTATAAAATTATTTCTAGTGGGCATGAGGTATACAGTTGTATACTCCCCAGAGCTTGCTGATTTAACTTCAAACCTAGACCTTCATGTTTAAGGCACGTTCTAAACTATAAGGGGCCCTGTGATTGGCAGGGAACTTGCTTTGTTCTCATGGTTTTGCATGGATGATGGGAAAAAATGGCTTTCTGGACTTTTTATTTTTTCAAAAGGGAGTGAGTTAGGCTAAAATAAAACTCATGGCACATTCTCATCAGATGCAAACCTGACCCTTACAGATCTTCCCTTTTATCCTTGGTGAGGACAGCTTCTCACTAGGAACATGTGCGTAATAAACAGACTCATGTGCACCTGTCTGATACACACACACACACACACACACACACTGTATAAAAATCAGTGCAGAAGAGAAAATTATGAGGACCACATCCAATCTGATTCCAGGGTTTGAGAACCTGTGACATTGCCTGTCAGGCAGATATATCCCATTACTAAGTAATTGTAGTTACCAAAAAAAAAAAATGGGATCAAAATATTTTTCTTTTTCTTTCTTTCTTTCTTTTTCCACAAAAGAGGCTTATTTTGCTCCTGCTTCTGCAAATGAGGGAAGACATTTGACCTTTGACTTCTTGAGCCTGGCTTATTTTACTTTGCATGATATCCTCCAGATTCATCCATTTACCAGCAAACGCCATAACTTTATTCTTCTTTGTGGCTGAGTTCAGCTCCATGGTGTATAAGTAACCATATTTTCTTTATCTTTTCATCTGTTGATGGGAAGCTGGGTTGGCTCCTTGGTGGGGGGTGGGGTAAGGTTGGGGCTGGGGATCCCATGAAAATGGAAAGGAGATCAGTGTGGAAGAGGAAACAGACGGAGGGGGAAGGAGGAGGATGGGAAGAGGGAGGGAGGAACTGCAGAATGA